CGGTCATAACTGCTTTGCAGTTCTAGTTATTATTATTATTATTATTATTATTATTTTCTGGTGGTTTGAGGGCTAATTAATCACAGAATACACCAAGAGCCTATAATATTTGCCTTTTAGGTAAAGGGGTATCCCTAATATTTTTCAATAAACAGTACTGTGATGCAGTTTCATTTTATTATTTACCTGAATATGACAGTGAATATTGCCTGTGCCAGTAATAGATGCAAACAAGAAATATCATTCAGCAATGCTGACTCATTGAATAATGCACGCAATGTACACAGGATGCAGCCAAGATGGTTCAAAGTTACCCTAATACCAAGCAATATGTTTGTGCATTAATTTAATTTTTTTAATCATTTCATCCCATTTTACAGGCAGTGCAGTGACAATTAGCTGGGTCATTAACAGGTTTGTATGTAGTATTAATGCAATGTACATCACAGACTGCTTTCTACAGCTCCTGATTGAAAATTACTGTATTTTTWAAATGATTTTCATCTTTTTTATATGGATGCTTTTGAGCACAAAACTGTGCGGAAGGCCATCAAAACTTTGCAAAGGGAGATCAGATCCATTTCCATTCACTCTGATCTCTTTGAATGATATCTATAATGTTGACCTCATACCAGCCACCATTTAAATGGATTTCCTCTGACCAGTTAAAAATGGGTCAGAGTATGGCCAGGGGGAACCATTGCAGCTTTACAAGATTGCTTTGAACACGGAGATTGAAGCATCATCACAGACGTGATTGTGCTGAGGTGGCAAATAGAACCACAGCKCAAATCATCAAACCTGTCACAAAACATGTCACAAACAAAGTAAATGGTCTACCCAGTCACACAAACTGGAGTAAAGGCAGCCAGTATTGAAAGATAAAAGGATACACATAGTCATTTTTACAATAGCAGAGGCATAAGGCACAACGTAATTTCTGCCTAAATTAAGCCTAAGCATACACTGACAACAGTGATAACTACCTTTCTGATGACCCAAACCATCTGCATGCCTTGTGCGAGGCTTTGAACAGTATGCCAGGACAAGATTGTCTGCAACATAATGATCTGACTCACATCTCCACCTAATTCACCAACTACAAAAAAAATCACTCAATTTAGCTAATAACACAACCAGCACACAAGGAAGAGATGAAAGAGCTAGTTTGTCAGAAAAGACAAAACCCAAAGAAAATATGGACTCCGAGGGGAAAACAAATTTTACTTTTTCACTCTACCAAAGGGAGAATCATTTGTTTTCTGTTTGTCAGACTGCATTAGGCAGAATGTCAAAATGCTGGATTATAGCAACAGGTGTAACCAGTGCTCCTCCAAAGCACACAAAACCAATCTAGCTTGGACCAATTTTTTTAAGTAAGTTTGTGAAGTTGTTGATTTTATTTTTCATGTAAATAATTATGTGTGTGCGTGCGTGCGTGCATGTGTGTGTATACTTGTTTTTGTTACCTATTTAGGACCGTTTCCAGTATACACACCTACCTTGTCAAGACCAGTAGCCTTAATGGGGACCAAAGACCGGTCCTAATATGGTGGAACTCCATTTTTGCGTTGGGGGTTAGGTTTAGGACTAAGGTATGAATTGAGTTTAGGTTAGTTGTAGGGTCAGATAGGTACCTGTGAGGTTAGCCTTAGGGTTTGTGGTCAAGGTTAGGCTGTAGAAATTACTGGAAATGATTGGAAGTCAACTCCCCTAACCACTCCACCACAACCGCTCACATGTAAAAGCTAAAAAAAAAAAAAAAAAGATTAGATTTCCAGTATTTCAGTGTTGGTGTAAGAAGTACCATCCCCAATACCAGGGTGTTTTATAAATATTATGATTTGGTAAGGACACATGGAGCTTAGAGCAGCAGCAGAAAGGGTTAGAAGACATTTTGGCTCACTAAGTGAAAATTCTAACTAGCTCATAAACAAAGGTTAAGATTCCCTAAGTTGTGTTACATTTTAAGTCACAAACCTGATAAATCCACCTAAAATGCTTTGGTTAAATACCCACTTTTTAGACCTTTTATATGAAGCTTGTTGTTATAGCTGTGTTTGAAGGTTTATTGAAACAAAGCAAGAGTCGACCAAAAGAACAGCACAAGTAAGAAGATAAGTGCTGGTGTGGACTATGTAGCTGTCCTTCTGTGCAGCTCATCTGAAAGCTAAACCAATGTTAGTGTTGACCTTGAGGTCAGGGAGGCAGGTTGACTGCTTCAGTCAGATGTCACATTGTCTTGACAGCTCAGTGAGGAGACAAGCTGAGCTGACACACACCTCTGACTACATGGCCACACGTTTATGCCCCATCAACTGTTCCAAAACTGCTCCTGCTTACATAAGAGATAAATAGGCAAAGAAATAGTTAATAAATTAATAAAGCAATAATTTTTTTTGTTATTTTATCTGTTCAATTCAATTCATCACACTTCCCAAATTTACGTTTTTGACTTAACTGATTTGATTGCATTCTAATTGATTACTATTTCATTTGTTGATATTTCCAAACTACACTACACTTTTTTTTTACAGAATTTTACTCTTTTACATTATGCATTTATAATTTCCACACAGCACACCAACTTGTCACACAGAAAATTTGATCAATTTTCCAGAAACTGTCAAAATGACATGTCTATAASCAAACTAAGGACTCAGCCTAAATAACTTAATTTACAAATTTAACAAAAAGGAGAAACAAAGCATAATGAAATTGTCCTAGACATTTGTTTCTATATATAGTTTAAGCTTCTTATAAATCTCTGTCATAAATGAGAATTTTCTCCAGCAACATTTCAATAGTCATAGTTTCTTATTTTATAAAAGAAGGTGACTTCCCAGATGCAGTCTGTGATGTTCTGATGGCACTGTCATATGTCTAGGCTGGGAAAATGACAGCATACATGAAGCTCAAAAGTGGTGGTGGCATCGGGGAGCTGGACGATTACCGATGCGCACCACATGTTGAGGATCTTTTCTTCATGGTGCGTGAAGGGAGAYCTGGGACTGAGGGATTCAAGGCTAGAGGGTCCCCGAGGGAGAAGCAGCAGAGAGACAGAAGAGATTGAAAGATTCATATAATATTCATCTTATGCTGCAATGCCTGTCCTTGGTGTGGACAGTCTCAAGCAAGGGAGTGGGTTGACTTGAGCAAACACACTCAAAGGAATAACACTGAAGTGCCACAGATATTATACACACAATAGGAGGGGGAAAAGGTCCAAGAGAGGAGATTCAATTGAGACTGTATTTTAATATTTTTGCCTCTCTTTTTTAAATTAATTTGCAATTGATGTACTAACCTGTGATTTCTCGAACTGTGCGAAAAACGTTGAGTTTTTCTGGGTCCAAGGCTTCAATGTTGTGATAGACGTCCCTGTAGACATTAACAGTGRGTCAGATAGCAAGAACAAAATGCATCTCGGTTTTTACCGGATAAATAAGATGTTTGCAAAATAATTTTTAGACAGGTAAAGTCTTAGATTATCAGTTCTTTGCATAGTGTATTTTCTTGGGTAGAATCCACTGAATTATTTATGCATGAATAGTATTCTTTAATGTGTACAATATAAAATAAATGCATGAAACTAATGGCTTTTTTCGGAAAAAACAAAACAAAATCGGACTCCAGTAAACTGTTTTTCAGTAAACTGTTTGTTAGTTCAGTTTAAATTAATGTTCTTTCCCGTCTTATCTAATTTGTATTTACAAAGGCATAAAAAGGAAAGAAAATCAATAAACTAAAATCTGGCCAAAAAAAATCATTTTAACAGTAAATCCTTTAGAATGCAATATGGTTGGAAGTCTGAAATTTACTTTTGTGTCAGCAGTACTATTGAATTCCAAGTATGTAATGTTTTCAAGTAGAATCCAGATAAAACAATTAAAAATGTCTTAAAAATCTCAAAGATCACAGCAATGACTGATGGGAAATATTRGCAGTGCTTCGTGGATACAAAGCTGTATATCACAAGCAGCTCTATTTGTCTAAACATGGTTATGTGCAGGAAAAAAAATACTAGTCAAAAATTTTAGAACACCCTCATTTGTCCAGTTCTTTTATATGAAATTCAAGCAGCTCAAGTCTAACAAACAGCTTGAAAGGGTACAAAGTTAAGTGCTGAACTGTCAGATGTTTTAAAAAATGTAAGGTTACCCAAAACCGAAAGTCAAGGTGTCTGAGTCCAGTATGCTTCACCATCACAATGCACTTAAAAACTGGTGGAGACTGATGGGAAGAGGTGTGCCAGACTCAGCAGCCACAACAGCATTTGATGACAAGTTACTGAGAGTCCACAGCGTGGGTGATAGACAGCTCACAGGCCCAGCTTAACAGTGGTCATAGAAGGCCAGTCTGTTTTAACTAAGACTTGGAGCTGCAAGTTGACAGGCAGAGTTGCAGCAAGAAAACCATCTCAAAGACCTCAGAATAAGAAAAAGAGGCTTGTCTGGATCATGAAACATTGCCAGTAGACCAGTGAAGACCACAAGGAGGTGTCAGTGTTGACTGAATTTGAAATCTGCAGTTCATCATGCAGAACTTTGGTACCCTTTCTCAGTCTGTGACAGCTGTTAAACATGGAGGAAGAAGTGTGGTGATCTGGGGCTGTCTTGCCGGATCCAGGGTTGGGTCTGCCACACCTCTTCCCATCAGAGTTTCCACCAGTTTCTGAGAGCATTGTGATGGTGAAGCAAACTAGACTCTCAGACACCTTGACTTTCACTTTTGGGGAACCTTACATAGTTTTCTAAACCTATGGTTGTTCAGCACTTACCATGTACCCTTTTAAGTTGTTTATTGAGCTGCTTGGATATATATAAATAGAAAAAAAATGAGGGTGTTCTAAAACTTTTAATAAAGATAGTTGTTTATTCAGATGAAATGGTTCAGACTYAAATAAAGTTAAGTAAAATCCAGAAAACATTTTTTTTAAATATGATTAGTTTCACAATAATTCATTCTCACCCTTTAATTCCAGTAATAAGGAACACCAGATTGCCATTGATTTTAGTGCAGTTGACAAACTTGTCAATGTTGCTAGAGTCCACCGTCTGAGCCGTCTGTAGGCTGGCTGTACCTATTCCATCACACGCTGCACAACAGACAGGGCAAGGACAAGCTGCATTAGACTGATTAATTGTATTAATTATAATAACATGCATAAACAGTGTGGACTGAAGTAACTATGCAATGTGAATCTATGATTTATTATTAATCTTTGAATGATTAATGTTACATATTTAGCCTACAGGGTAAAGTAATCTCTATATTATTTCACAATTGTTGATTATTTCACTCTTATAAAGATCTATCCAAATAGTTTTATGGCATTTTTTGCAGTTAACATATTTTTAAAATTGTTGTTAAAAAAGATTTACCTTTTGGGCAGATGTCAGTACAAGGGATGCACATCTTGATGCGATTTTCCTCTACTTCCATCTTATTACTAGGACATGCTCTCACACAAGAGCTATGGTCCACCACAAAGTTATCTGAAATTTAATAACAAAAAAAAAAAGAACAGTAAAAAGGAACACATCATTACATATGTCAAACACAAGGAGGGTGACGTTTGTCACACAGGAACTCAGTAAAATAAGTGTCAGACTAGTCTAAGCAATCACACAGAAAAAAAAAAGTCACTGGCTCTCTCTTGCCTTTTCAACTTATTTGGTCATAAATAGACAGAAGAATATTGTACAGAATCGTGTTCTTTTCTATCAATTGTTTTTATTAAAACATGTGCTATTAAAACAATATGTGATTTTTAAAGTAGCCATTACTGTTTTAGCCAAGTCACAGTTTCTGTGGCTTATCTGTTTTTATTTTGAATGATATTAGCAAAAGGGGAAAAATGACAAAAATAACTTTCATTTGCAGGTCACAACTGCCAGTGCCAACATGAAGACAAGAAATTAAACAAGAAAACAAATTTAGAAAAGTGTATTTTATCCCTGCAAATATCATAATAGTTAGGTACTGCACTGAATGTCTGTCAGAAGGTAACACTGCCTCCAAGTGCAATAAGTCAGACTTCTACTCCTGCTGGTTGGCCTTTCACTGATGCTGTGAACACAGTGGGTAGTCCACTATTAGCTGTGGGTTTGCTAGGTGATCAGAGGCTAGTGGGTGGCTGAGTTGTGTCCACCCTTTAGGGTCGTAACTGAGGTGGCAAATCAGGGAGAGGGGACAGTTTTGATCGTAGATTCAATGCCATTTATTAATCCCCACAGGTTTTGTAGACACAAACAAACACAACCTCAGGGTTTTATTGACGTGGTTATGAAGATGATGCTGGGCAATGATAAACACATAATTAAAATGTTTCTGCACATTTACATAGCTTAATCAAGCAATTTATAGTGTTTAATAAAGGTTATTGAATGTTGTCTAATAGGTTGAGCAGCTAATGCAAAATTCTTGTTYCAATTTACGAACTTCCGCAAGGCATATTTTCTCTTCTTTAGAAACCCCTGAGTGCATACCCAGCTCACTGTAATGTCCAAGTGACACCTGAGTGTCTGTGTAGCCCTTTTGCACCTCCATTTCTTCCTTCAGGATGGAAAAAGTGTTCAACTTATTCTAGGTCCTTCTAAAGAGGCAATCATCTCATTTTCTTTTCCTTATGAACAAAGAATCATATAGCCACCCGACTATTGCTAATCTTCTACTTTACACATACTTACGTCTGAATTATGACCAAAAGAACAGTTACGATTTCACTTTTATACTCTGTTTTACTCCTGACCTGTATCTATGCCCCTTGCTTTTCAATCTCTCCAGGGTTATTCATCATTACAGGTAGAAAATAAAATAATACATGTGCCAGCAGAAAACACTACTATAGGCTAAAACTATAGCTCGTAAAATCCACCTTTTTTTTTTCTTAGTAAATAAAACACTGGTAAAACAAAGAAAAACAAACAACATAAGATACTGCAGAAGTGGCTACATAAAGGAGCACACATAATTAAAATTTAATAGTCAGAGTTTGACCAAAGGTTAAGGTATAATGTATACTTTTCTAATGCAAAAATACTATACATAAACAGCAGTTGTTCTGTGCAAAATTTACACAGTTCAGTTAAACAGGTGTGTGCTCAGGTGATGGGACTTACGAGGACATTTCTTAACACAGAAAGCTCCATAGGTATATTTTGCCCTGGGGTTGTGTTCCAGTTGGAAGGTGGTTGGGTTGTAAACAAATGGCTGAGGGCACTGGGTAACACAAGCTCCACTGTCATTGAAGTTTGTACAGGCCTGTAAATGCACAGAAATACACAGCTACAGCAAATCAACTATAATTTTACGTAAACCAACAACAAATAGTTCTTTACGAGTCTACAAGCACAGTAACAGGAAAAATAACCAGTGTTTTCTTGTGCCTCCTATGTTAACATAAAGTTGTACAACTGTTGCATTCTCATTCATTAAATGACACTTGATTACCAGTTTGTCTCTAGAGTGCTAAGGAAGAGAGAAATTGGTGCAGAATGGGAATGTCAGTGGAATCACAAATACAAATAACATAAAATAAACGAATTTAATGGTAGTTTTCTTGTTGGTATGAACTTTTCAAATATTATTTTATGGAGACATAAAGATATAAAGAGATAAAGGACATAATTTTCACAAAGTTAAGCCTTTATTGATAAATTTTGATTTGCACTAAACCATTAGTATGCCTTTATGCAGTTTATTTTGCCAACACACAATGGGCCTCATGCAAGAACCGTTCGTACGCACAGATTTGTTCTTAAGTTGTGCGTACGAGTGATTTAGGAGAATTTGTGGCGTTCACCAAATGTTTTTGTATTCTAAGATTTTTTTCAGATACGAACAAAATTTACGAGTGGTCCAGACCTGTCGTATAT